TGGTTTTTACTCTCCTAGGTTCTCTTTTTAAAGGATTTTCTACAAAATTCATATAACAAATGTTACATAAAACAACAGCATGATGGACATTCGTATATTACACGATCACCAATATACATTTCAATTGAAAATTTAAAGTACTATTACCCCATTCGGAAGGTGAATGGACGAACACTAATTAACCTTTGCAGTAATATAATCCTTCATCTTTTAAAACGTTTTCCGTGTCAGATCATACCTTCCTCGACTTCAATACATAATAGTGAAAAATACCAAAAACTAGACAATGCGTACTTTGTAAAGAAACTAAAACTGAAAGTTTTAGAACAATAAATGAAGGAAGGATGCAACAAGGTAGTCGTTCTATAATTATTGTTAAATTAATAGTTTTGTATTATATATTTATTTATATATCTGTTTCTTATTATTAGATAAAAAAATGAATGTGGATAATAGAAACAAGGTAAACTGTTCTATAAATAATTAGGACAAAAGAAGCAAGGTTGTTCTATTAATGGTTATTAGATAACATGAATAAAAATTTGTTTCAGATATCTATTTGATAAAAACTTGTATATTTTTATAATTGGTTAAATACTGGGCTAGCAAAATACATGCATCGATTTAGTTGAAGCTTCCTTTTCTCAAATAAAAATTTTCTTTAAAACTTTTGTGTAATTTATTCGGGCCAATCAAATTTCGTGATAAAATCAAAATATGATCGATGGAAATCATTACCAATTTGCGAATGTCCGCCATGCTCACCTTTGATATTAATCCATAAATAAATACGTGCATTATGTATCTACAAGGAATACCGGTGATTTTATTCTATTCCTTTGGAATCTAAGCGGTGTAGGTTTTGTTAATTAAACACGATATTTATTGAAGTTATCGTCTGTTAAATGATCTATCTGGTTTTATCCTATAACCATTGCAGCGTGCGTGTAAATGTCACTTTTGTTTTATTATTTCTCGACGATAAAGGATAAAGAACACGATGATGATGAGTAATTGTATGATTTTACATCATCCACATCAGTTACTGGTGTATAGTCAGATTCTTCTGCATCATATTTTAAGACATTAAAATCTTCAGCATCAGGCATTATTGTATTATTAACAGATTCCGCATCAGAATCTGCACCAAATAATTACATAGTATCATTATCTTCATTATCATTGCATCATTAACATAATTAATGTATTGGCGGTTGTAATTAGAATCGGTGAAGCGATTTTTCCATTTGATTAAATCTTTTTATATTATCAGAATCATTGCTGAAACAAAAAAAAATTTAAATTCATATTAAAAATATATTATATGATACGCAATATTTGAGAAAATCAATCAATCTTCTGATTCAGATTCTTGAAGTGTTGTCCATAATAGCCAAAGGCATGTATTTAATGGTAAACCATATCATCGAAATTAAAAGAATTATTACTTTAACAAGTTAATGTTAGATGTACTAATGAAAGAACTTGATGTATTTTTATCGCGGTTTTATTATAATCTATATAGATCTTTTAAAAAACCAATTTTATTCAAGTAGAGACCGTGATTGATATCACACTTGATGGTATATAGAATGGAAAACATTTTCAAATAAAAAGAAAATTACAACTTGTTTATTTTCTATGATAATGACATGATATTTAATAAATTATGTTATTTTACGCTTAACGATTTCCCAAATGTCATCATTATTATGCTATTCTGTCATTTCTGTCAACATTTCCCATTCTCCTTTTAAGTTTTCTTTCCAAAATGTTACCTTATTATCAGAAGTTGCCACAGCTAAAACATTACCGGATAATGACCATTTAACGCTCAATGCTGCATCAGAAAATTTTTCATTGTGAAGTAACTTTTTGACCCATTGAGAATTTGGACTTTCTTGAGTCCAAATTAAAACAGTTTTATCCTAATCATAATTATTTTCATTATTGTACATGTAATGAATTTTTCATGGTAAAAACTTCCCTAAAAACGAATGATTTACCTGTGACGCACTTGCTAAACAACTTTTAGGAAGTCCTAGATTAGGAGCCCAAGCAACATCGCGAACCCAATCAGTATGCCCTTCTAATGTGCTTTCTTCTTTCCATTCTTTAACATCATCTCTTTATATATAAAATATTTAAGAATGATTTGAGTAAAAATAATATATGTATATATATAAATTGGACTTTTTATTTACCTATAAGACCAAATTTTTATATTATTGTCACAACCTGCAGTTACAAATTTTTTTGTAATATTGACATTTATTGCTCCACCAAGAGTCTGGACAAGTGCACCAGGTATTGTAGCAGGCGCCCAGTCTACAGAATTAACACCAATATGATGTGCATCATATAAATGTGCATCCCATGTTCCATCATCTATTTATTTATTTAAATTAAATTAGCTGAAACTATTTCCAAGCATAAATACATATACATATACATATATGCATAGATTTTTATTTTATATTTCACCTTTAAATGTTAGAATTGAAACTTTTCCATCTGATGATGCACATGCTAAAATTGGTCCGATTTCATGAGGTGCCCAAGCAACAGAATTTACTATCAACAATAAAAAATGAATTTTTTTTATTCAATTTGTAATGATATGTTAGAAAAAAAAAGATTTGTTTCTGTGCACATTATGCATTTATATACTAACATATGTACCAGATGCAGTATGTAACGTATGTTCTTTAATTTTCCCCCAAGATCCATTTTGTTCTTTCCAAATAATAACCTTATTATCATATGAACATGATGCAAGTATATTCCCAAATTTTGGATGTGCCCAATCGACTTGCCAAACTGGCCCTTCATGACTAAAAGGGAAAAAAACTTTTTTTTTTAATAATAAATTTTGCTTTTTAATCAAGAATATAATGGTATTATTGTTTTTTACCCCTTCAACGTTTCAATTTCTCGATGATTTTCACCTTCTATTTCAAAAATCTTTACAGTAAAATCCGATGAACATGTTGCCATTTTCTTTCCATAATAATCAAGTTTAGCATCATGCTAAAATTTTTTTAGTTGAAAATTTATTAATTGATTAAATGTTTCTTTATTTCTTATGCACAAGTAGAATTTTGTCCAGGTTAAAGACGGTATATATTAACTTACAACCAGTTCTTCATGGTGAGTCTCAAGAGTAACTTGTTCACTGGCTTCTGTCTATATCAACAATAATAAATAATAAGTAAAATACTCGACATTGGAAAAGTATGAAACAAGTCACGGCTTACCATTTTTTTACATATAAAATCAAAGTTACACCAATCAATTTCTATTTTTTATACAAAATCAATTTGTTTGATAAAAGACTTTTAAAAAAATGTCTTTTCCACACTGGCATTCGGAAGACCCAAATTGTGGGCCTGTTAACCCCATAACTGGTTTAATTAAACAATTTTCGCATGACCAATCGTTACAAAAGGTATAGTTTATGTTTTAAAAAAGAATAGAACTCTACAACATAGAAAAGAGTGATATTTTCATGGAATGATATTTACTTTTTTTTAATTTATAGGATAAATTCATTCCTGTTCAACACGGTGAGAGTTCTAAAGAGGTATTTTTTTTTTGGATTAAAACGATTAATGTTACGATCCATATTTATTTACATCATTAGTTTTATTTGATAGATTTTTAGAACTAATTTAGAAATAGATGCGATAGAACATGAGGTAAATATTCTTGATAATTTCAATTTTTTTACATGTTGTTTGCTACTTTAAATTAAAAATTGCTTTTAACATGCATGCTTAACTCCTTCTAGTCTGAGCAACAATTTTTCCAAAATCATCCAGAAGCAAATTCTCAAATGCATCACGGAACTTTCAACTTTGATCAGTTTAGAAACGAGTTGGATCATATTAGACATGATATGGGTCCAAGAAACAAGTGGGTAGCAGATTTCTTAAAAGAGCAAAAAATTTCACAACAACATAATCATATAACACATCATCCGTATGACAATAATTTTGAGGATTTTGAAAAAATATATAATAATAATTCACAACCAAAAGGTTAATATATGATATGATATTATATGATATGATATGATAAAAATTATCACGCTAATAATTAATTACTTTCCCCAAAAAAGATTCTTATAATGACAATTGGATTAATGAATTTGCGCAAATTGATCAAATGGTGCACAATCAATCAAATCCAGAAGAGATTGAAGCATTTGAAAAGGCATTTGATGAAGCAAAAAAAAGTTGGTAATTATTATTATATTTCATTGAACTTTTTATTATGTTAAATTCAATTAAAATATATTCATGTAAAATCACACGTACACGCGTATATATATATATATATATATACATATAATATTGTGATTAGGTGCTATTTGGAAATCCGAATTTGAAGCTCAAGAACAGTCATGGGCAACAGAGTTCAACAAACAACTAAATGAAGAGTCGGCCATAAATGCAGATGACTCAAATATGCAGCTAGCAGAAACTGCTAGAAAATTGATTGAATCAGTCGAAGAAGAAGCAAATCCAAAATTTAAAAATTCGAATTTTATGAATTTTATGAAAAAATTAAGGGATCACGAGGTTTCAATTGAAGGTAATAAGGTAGTGGAACAAAATTTATCTCCAAGCAATGCAGAATGGGCTGCAGATTTCGATTCAAATAACAAAAATAATTGGGCAAATGAATTTTCAACAACTACACAACAGAATAAAGGTAAAAATAAATGGACTGAAGAATTTATAGCTCAAGGCAATAATACCCATGCAAATAACTGGGCTCGTGATTTTGCTGCAAATATGGAGGAGGACATAGATTTTGCTGCAAAATGGTCAGAAGAATTTGAAAAATCATTTGGAAAAAAAAATTATAAAGACAAGTCATGGGATGAGTTACAGGATGATTGGGATAAATATACACCTTCTAGTATGGGATACAAGCCAACACCCTCTCAATTCGAAGAATACCATTTCCAGTCAGCCAATCCAACCCTATCTAGATCCACTAACACATCATCACAACTAAAACTTAGAGAATCTATTTCAGCATTGGAAGCAGAAGTTCAATTAGACCCAAAGAATGCAAATGCATGGTATCAATTGGGCATTAAACAACAGGAGAATGAGCATGAAGCACAAGCAATAGCTGCTTTGAAAAGAGCAATCTCGTTAGAACCTAAAATCTTAGATGCATGGCTTTCATTGTCAGCCTCTTACACTAATGAATATCGTTATGCAGAGGCAGATAATGCATTGAAGTCATGGATTGAAAATAATGACAAGTATAATCATAATTTGGAAAGCCAACATGCAAAAATTGATCATAATGATCAACATAGGTTTATCACACAATTATTTCTGAATGCTGCTATATCAAATCCTGGAGAAAATCTTGATCCAGATGTACAAATTGGCTTGGGAATCTTGTATAACATGTCAGATGAATATTCCAAAGCTGTAGATTGTTTTCAATCTGCTCTTACAAAAAGACCAAATGTAATTTAATTATATTAATAGCTGTTATATATTGATTGTTCTTTTTTTTTACTCTTATAATTAAATATGTATTTATGTTATTTTTTTTTTCTATAGGATTATGTATTGTGGAATAAACTTGGAGCCACATTAGCCAATGCAAAACAATTTGAAAAGGCAGTAAATGCATATTCAAATGCACTTCAAATCAACCCATTTTTTATAAGAGCCAAGTATAATTTGGCAGTTACACTTATTGATTTGGGTGAATTCAAAGAAGCTGCTCAGAATTTGTTGCAGGCACTTTCATTACAGACTGGAAATGACAATTCATTAATGGTTTCAAAAGAGTTGGGGGAGAGTCATGGTGTATTAGGTGGTGAGATGAGTTCAAATATTTGGAATCATCTCAGGATGTGTCTTGGATTCTTAAATCGACCTGATTTATTTCAAAAATGGAATGCTAAAGATTTGAATGGGCTTAGACAGGGCCTTGGATTTTAAAATTTCAGATTTGCAGTATTTATATAAATCCATGGTAGATAAATGGCTAATTTGTTGTACATTTCTTATCATCATTTTAAATATTAAAATTTATATACATCCAATTTTGGATTTAACCAAATTTAGAAATAATTATCTCAATTTCACCCAACCAAGGATCTGCAATAGGATGTATCCTTGATTTTTGTGTCTCAAATGTTAAGGATCAACCTACAAAATTCCATCACCATTAACCATCAGGACAAGAAGTTTAATTTCCTATTCTTATAATATTTAATTCCATCCAATAAACTAATATAAATTAACATGTTAATATATAGAAAGTTGCATTTAAATACAACCAAGTTTTCTGAACTTCACATAAACTTCATCCATTTACCAGAAATCTGATCGATCATTTATTTCCATCTAATAAATTATTCATTTGCTAGAAATCAGAAACATCATGACCAGTCATTAATTTCCACTGATATCTGATAACCAACCAATGAATTTGTTAGGAATCAGAAACATCATGACTGGTCATTCATTTCTGCTGATATTTGATAACTGACCAATGAATTTGTTAGGAATCAGAAACATCATGACTAGAGCTTATGTATGAACTAGTTTGAACCAATTTAAATCATAGTCAAAAAAATATTTTGATTTGAATATTCAATGATTCAATTTGAACCATCAATGATTTGAATGATTTGAACCATTAGCAATTTAAACAATTCATACCATTAACAATTTGAATGATTTGAATCAATTATATAAATTTAAATTTAAAATTTTTTATTTAAATTTTTAATACTTGAAAATTATTATGTGAAAGATTACATGTAGAGTTGTTATGTTTAAATGTTTCTCTCATTGGTTGTTGGAACAAACTTTATACTTAGCAAACTCATAATATTCACCTATTATAATGATCTCTAGCTCTCCACATTCTAGTTGATTGTGAGTTTTCTTTGCATCTTTTTTTTGTGGCTGGTTTAAGGTTGCGGGAGAACTCCTCCAGAAATCAATCAACAGAGTTTTGACAGGTTACACATTAATTGTTTATTAGAGTTTCGGCATAGTTTTGCATTTGGGGTTTTCGCCAATCATCAGAGTTTCGACAGTTTACACATTAATTGTTCATTAGAGTTTTGACAGAGTTTTGACAGTCATTAAGAGGTTTCGCCCACAACCTTAGGCTGGTTAGAACTAATTAAAACAAGCAAAGATTATGATACTGCTATTATAGTTTCAGATGTGGTAATTGAATCTGAACCCAATTGTAAAAGGTCTGGGAAGTGAAAGGGCAGAATAAGAATTGTCATTGTAAAAATCATTATTGTTAAATCATCCATGAGAAATTTTTTCAATTAAATTCACTGAAAATCTTAAAAAAGTTCATGTAATTTAAATATTTGTTGTATATATGTGGAATTGAAATTTATAATTAAAATTCATTGTCAGTTATCAAATATCAGCCAGCAGAAATGAATGACCGGTCATGATGTTTCTGATTCCTAACAAATTCATTGGTCAGTTATCAAATATCAGTGGAAATGAATTACCGGTCATGATGTTTCTGATTCCTAACAAATTCATTGGTCAGTTATTGAATATCAGCGGAAATGAATTACCGATCATGATGTTTCTGATTTCTAACAAATTCATTGGTCAGTTAACTAAGGTTGCGGGAGAAACTCCTCCAGAAATCAATCGACAGAGTTTCGACAGGTTACACATTAATTGTTTATTAGAGTTTTGGCAGAATTTCGCATTTGGGGTTTTCACCAATCATCAGAGTTTTGACAGGTTACACATTAATTGTTCATTAGAGTTTCGACAGTCATTAAGAGGTTTCGCCCACAACCTTACAGTTAACAGATATCAGCAGAAATGAATGACCAGTTATGATGTTTCTGATTTCTAACAAATTCATTGGTCAGTTATCAAATATCAGCGGAAATGAATTACCGGTCATGATGTTTCTGATTTCTAACAAATTCATTGGTCCATTATCAAATATCAGCGGAAATGAATTACCGATCATGATGTTTCTGATTCCTATTTCATTTTCACATACGAATGGTTAAAATGGTTTGAATTATACGGAAACAACATGACCGGTCAGTAATTTCCACTGATATTTTTAGAAATACTATTTATGAATTTCTACCAATGAAATTTTTAAAAACATTATTTTCTTCTTTATTTTATTTTGTAATGGAAAAGCAGGATTTTGAAGATTGTTGTGCTGATATTATTAGCTTTTTGTTTGAAACCTCAAACAAAAAGCTCAAAAGTGTTTCTTTTGATGTAAAGACAAATAAATACTCTGTTTATTTGAACAGTAATACTAATAGTGGATGCCTGACAGCTTTTAAAGGTCTAGAACTCAGGAACAATGTAAATAGTTAATGATTTTGAAATTTTATTTTTTTAAAACATTTAAAATAAAAGATATTTAAATAATGACAAAAAAAAATTAATTATAGGTTACCCTCCATACAAGCGAAGAAATTAAGGTATAAAACACATATTTCTTATTAGAGTTGCCTTCCAAAACTTAAATTAGCTTAAATTTTTTTGAAACTCCTTGAAACATTATTGAATTCTCTTGAAACTAGTTTAGAAATAATTTAGAAAACAACCTGGACTTTTGAATGGTAACTCTAATTTTTACTATCAAAGATTTTTTTAATCTAAGTATTTTTTTTTTTTAGATGTTAAGGTCGGAAAATGAAGCATTAAGCAATGAAATTGAAAATTTAAAAAAAGTATTAATATTAATTAATTAAATATTTAATTTTAATTATTATTATATAAATGCAAATTAGACAGGATATTAGCATTAAAAAAATATTATTATAATTTATTACTTATAGGAATACATCATTAATGCTAGTAATAATGATAATGATAAAGAACAGAATAATAACGTAATAAAAATTTTTATTAATTATTTGTAATTATATTTTATTGAAAATATTTTTTAATGCTTTATTCTTTTACTTTATAGGATAATCATATGGTAATAACAATAAAAATTTATTTATTTCATTTAAATATATAACTGGTTACCAGAGATTTAGCAAAAAAAAAAATAAAGGATGGGCATTGGGTCTAATTCATGTAACTGGGTTATATGACTGTACATTGTATTTTATTTTATTTGTAGGAATATATAAATGATAATGAAAATAATGATAATCATAATCATAATATGGTAATTTAAATAATTATTTTTGTAATTATATTTTATTGAAAATATTTTTTTAATACTTTTATTCTTTTACTTTATAGGAATATAATGGTGATGTGGCAGTAAAGGTTTATTTTCATTTAAATATATAATTGGTTACCAGAGATTTAGCAAAAGAAAAAAATAGAGGATGGGCATTGGGTCTAATTCATGTAATTGTGTTATATGACTTGTACATTGTATTATAGGACCATATTTTTATTGATGATAACGAAGTTAATGAAAAAAATAAGGTAATAAAAAATTTTTTTTCTTTGAATAATTATTTTTATAATTACATTGAATTATATTTTATTGAAAATATTTTTTAATACTTTTATTCTTTTACTTTATAGGAATCTAATGATGATGCAGCAATAAAGGTTTATTTTCATTTAAATATATAATTGGTTACCAGAGATTTAGCAAAAAAAAAAAATAGAGGATGGGCATTGGGTCTAATTCATGTAATTGTGTTATATGACTTGTACATTGTATTTTATTTCATTTATAGGACCATATTTTTATTGATGATAATGAAGTTAATGAAAAAATAAGGTAATAAAAAATTTTTTTTCTTTGAATAATTGTTTTTATAATTACATTGAATTATATTTTATTGAAAATATTTTTTAATACTTTTATTCTTTTACTTTATAGGAATCTGATGATGATGCAGCAGTAAAGGTTTATTTTCATTTAAATATATAATTGGTTACCAGAGATTTAGCAAAAAAAAAAATAGAGGATGGGCATTGGGTCTAATTCATGTAATTGTGTTATATGACTTGTACATTGTATTTTATTT